CTGACCTGCACTTGAAACCCTGAACAGTAGTTTAGCTTCTCTGCTCTACCTGTGCGCTTCCACAGTCCACTCCATTCTCTCTCTCGCATTGATTACTCTGATCCAAACCGTTTGGCGGAGCGCACGCGCGAGCCGAAGCATTGCCAGTCATGTCTAACCGATTCATGATTTATTAGAGATTATCGAATGGCGAATTCGGAAATAATCGCTAATAATCATATATATAAAAAAAGCAGCGGCCAAATCGGCTGCTGATGGCCAGTCCGCGCCTGATTTCCACAGAGACAAGCAGAACGTGCAGGATTCATTTGTCTTTTTGCGGCTTAATATTCACAGACACTAGTCCATATCGCGTTTTGATTCAAGTGTACTGACCTACTTTTGATTTATTCGTCCAAAATGTGGCATATTCCCTCCGCGTTAGGCTATAGGAATTCCGTTTTTATGACTGGATTCTACGAACCAGTCTGTGTTTTCCGCATCGCGGAAATTATGTCTCAGAGTAGTCAGTGCAATTTGGAAAAGAAATCAATTAAATCTGTATGTGGATGTGTGTAAATATTCAAATGTAATCCCCTTTGTAATCGTTAACATTTTCATAAGTAACTGTAATTTAATTACACATTTTTTCTTAGTAACTGTAACTGATTACAGTTACATTTATTTTGTAATTAAATTACGTAACGCCGTTACATGTAACTAGTTACTCCCCAACACTGTCCATACTGTACATCCGGCATTTCTGTTTCTCTTCATCATTACTACTAAACCTCATCCAATTCAGGGAAAAACACAATACTCCTAACTAATAATATCTGCAGTTACAAAACAAAAACTTCCTGAACCTTCTTTTACAGTGACCCTAATATTTATTTTGTACACTTCTAGATACTTAGGTCACATTAAAAATATCTGTACACAAAACACTGTAACCAGCTGAAAACAAATGTTTAGTTTCCCTCAAATTTACACAGGTGTCGTAGCAGGTCAAGTTCAATATACACTACAGTTAACAATTTTGGGGGTGGTAGGACTTTTTTCATGTTTTTGAAAGAAGTCTCTTATGCTGAAAGTTGAAAAAAAAACAGCATTTATTTGAAATAGAAATAGGCCTATTTAACATTATAAATAGCATCATAAATATATTTCCTGTCGCTTTAGAGCAAAAAAAAATAATCCTTGATATTTTTTTAATTACTGTCCCCACATGTTTGAACAGTAGTGTATATAATTCATTATATATTATAAATGATAAATATGGCTTAAGTGTCCAAATATAGGGGTCAGTGTACTGTATATTATGCACACTGTATATTATACACACACAATTGCAAAAAACAGCAACAAACCTGCTGGCTCTGTGCTCTTTCTGTACTGGTCAAGGCTGGACAGTTGGTTGGCACTCTCAAGGGATAGTTTGTTATTGAGGTAAAGAAAGAGTACAATCACAAGAAAGATGAACACACCAATGCCAGACAGGAACCCCAGAGCCTCAGGAGACACTGTGGAGAGAAAGAGAGAGATTTATTTATTACTCCAATAAGGTACATTGAAAATGAGATGGAATGAGATAGAAGAATTTCAGTGACTTTTTCATGATCTTTCCAGTCAGTTGGGATTACTAGTTGAGGATCAGCATTCAAATTTGGATTCAAACCAAATAGGGTTTCCATTACTTTTTACTTTCCTTAAAGGGGTCCTATTATGCTCTTTTACAAAGTCTTGATTTTGTTTTGGGGGTGTACTAGAACAGGCTTTCATACTAGGTTGTTCGAAAAACACATTATTTTTCACATATTTTACATTATTACAACACCTCTCTCCCCAGTCTGGCATGAACGGCTCGAATAGTTCCTGTATCAAATGAAGGCCCGCCTTCTGAAATACGAAATGTGCTGTGATTGGTTAGCTGGGCCAGTGTGTGTTGTGATTGGCACCACTTGGCGCCTGGTCGAAAAATGTCACGCCCCTTACCATAGCCGCCTGCCAGCTTCAAACGAGTCGTTGGTTGTAGTTTTTGAAAAGTGATTTCTGTTAAATAAAATATCTCCTTTTGAAGTGGACTTTGAACTTTGTAAATTTGCAGATCTTTTTTTATGCTCAAACAGCAACATTACAGACTAACTAAAGTTGAAAAAGTGAAAAAGCGTAATAGGACCCCTTTAAATGTCCAGTTCTGGAAATTCAAATTTTGAAATCCATGTTTTGTGTGACAGTGAGAACCTATTCATATTCAGTACTTTGTCTTTCAAAGCAGATTTCTGCTTGATCTAGTATCAGTGAATCAAGTGAGCAGCACTTAAAAATAAAGAGAAAGGCATTAGTCTAGAGTCTAGACATTACTGAGAGAAAGAGACCAGCCATACAGAAACAGAGCAAAGATGAAATGTTCACAGTGGGTGCAAAGGGTTTAACCTGATCACCTTCCTTCACTCATCAAAAACCACAGAGATGATAGAATGTAACTGCAAGACTATCTGCTAGTCCTGCTCTATGTGGCCACATATTTCAGGATGACAGAGGGAAATGACCCAGTTCCAGATGGTTGGTTTCCCACTTAGGGAAGAAATAAACGTACCAGCGATGATTTCTGCACTGAACTGAATCACAGCTTTCTGTGAGTGTGAATTTGACTCTAAAGTTCCACACATACACCCATTCTGCAAGAGTAAGTGTGAATTATTCACACAAATTATGCAATGTGATTCTGTCCCATCAACCTCTCTGTCCCACAGGGTCTGACAGGAAGAGTTAAATATTAAAAAGAGAAATCCTTCTATTTTAAATCACTTTAAAAATCACTCTATTACGGCTATCTAGAATATCACTCTGTGCTTTTTTTCATTGGAATTCTAAAACTAAAATCTATGTTATCTCTAGGGTGCTGGTTAAAAGTTACAATGAGCTACAAATGTGTCACTGGTAGAAACCATACAAAATATAATTATGGCTGTAAAGTCAGGGGTAACTCTAAGAGTTAAAAAATGACCAATAAATCATACTACAGATTTACAGTATTGATGATAAGAATGAAATTTGTAATGTTGCCAAAGGCCAATCAGGGTAAGATGAGGTCAAAAGTTATTATGTCAGGGTCACTACTTTGCCGGAATGGACAGAATCCATAATGCTCCATTCCAGAGTGTGAAAAAAACAAAATAAAAGAATGTTCCACGGAATGATCTTTGTTACATAACAGCAGCTCTTAACCATGGCAACAGAGTTCCTGCTGTCACTGATCCTGTTTAGCCAGTTAACTGCGTAATCTAGCTAGCTGCTGCTGTTTTTAGCATGCGGGAGGACATCACAATACAGGACAAACAATGGCCAAATGCAAATGATGACACTCTTTTATCTTGGTGGACACTGTGAAGAGACAGACATTATTAAAGTAACATAATTAGCTAAATTCTTGAGAAAACAGCAAACTTTGAAAAGAATACCTGTTAGGTATAATGCACCTGGTGTCTGTTGTTTGTTTAGCCTATAGTCATGTGCACAACACATTTGTGTGCATGCGACAGTAATGTAGTGGGCCGATGGAAATTTGAAATCTAATTTTCCTTGATGTTTGCCACAGTGCTTCCTGACAACAAAGACACTAACATCCCTACTGCATCTAAACAATTACAAACTGCGGTAAGACATCAATAGCATAAGAGAACAATAACAACAGGATAAATTATTATATACTTTAGCACTGGTGTATGACTCACAGATTTACAACAGATACAAGGCTGATAAACATCCTAAAATATACAGCAACTGCTACGCAAAAAGACACTTCATTAATTTCTATGCCTGTTTCTGAATGTAGGCAATGAGAGAGTTAATACAGTCTTTGAGCGTTTGAGGTGATTCTGGTCAAACAAACACTTATAAAACAGCTCTCCCCCTCCATCTGCTATTTTTAGTAATGCTAATTGATTTACAGCCTGTGTTTCCTGATCAATTCAACGAAAACATTTCCCTCATAACCCACTTGCCTCCTCTTCCCCCTCATGTTTCCTCTTTCTGTTCTGTCATTTATAATTATTTCTGGTTTCTGTTCTTTCATGTTCGATTTTAAATATACTTAGTATACTTAGCTCACTTTAAGGTACATTTAACCATCTTGCAGATGGGAAAAAAATTCAATAGTCACAAAAGTCCTGCAGTCAGATGCCAATTTAGTCAAAGAGGCCTGAGTCACAGACATCAATAACAGGACAAATAATCCACTGTACTCAGAGTTCTTCCTGTCAGTCTCCACACACAGAGGGGAGGTGACAGGAGAAACAGACAGCGTTCGGTACGTTCAGTGCTCAAAGAGGGAACATTTACAGTAGGTTTTTTAAACCTGCACAGTTTTAAAGGAACCGTTCACCTGAAAATAAAATGTCAAGCGGATAATATATCAAAGTGGAAAGATATGTAAACTGGGTCATTTGATGCAATTAGTACATTAATATTTTGTGGCAGAAAGAAAAAGTTAAAAACCAGTTATTATTGTATAGGTGAAACTTTTAAATGTTGGAGAAGAATTTGCAAAGTCATGAAAATTAGTGATCAGGAGATGGTTTGTTTAAGAGAAATAGCAAGAGACCCAGATTTTAAACCAAATACTTTTGATGATGTATTTAACGTTTGGGCTAGCAAAGGACATAAAAGATTTGATCAAATTTACGGAGATAATGAGATGGAGACATTTGAGGACATAGAGAAAAAATATGTATTGTCTAGGAAATTATTTTACAAATATCTTCAAATAAGAAGTTATCTAAAGGATGAGATTAAAATAAAAACTTTAGATGATATTCACCCTCTGTTGCGTTTTATGATTAAAGTTAGTAAAATCAATATACTAGATAACTTGATAGGACAAATAAAAAGTACATTCAAAGAAATGAAGGATAGGGGTTTATATAATATTAAGACAAAATGGGAAATTGAATTAAACAATAAAATAACAGAAGATTGGAAACAATGTTTAAAAGAAAATCTAAAGACTACACAATCTCCATATTGGCAAGAATATGCTTGGAAAATTAGTATGCTAAATTTTATAACACCAGAAGTATCTTCCAAAAATAATAATTTGTTTTCAGGATGTTGGAAAAGTTGTGGTTAAAGCTCATTAAACTCATATATTTTATACTTCTAAAATAATAAAAAAATTCTGGACAGAAGTAATTTATGCAATAGAAGACATTTTTAAGAAATCAAATATAATAAAGATACTAAATATAGTTTTGGGTATAGGACCTATGCTACTTAGTAAAGATGAGTCATATTTATTTAGAATATTGAGAATTACAGCTTTTAAAGCAATAACAAAATTTTGGAGAAGGCAAGAATCCCCAGCTATAAGTGATTGGTTAGACTTAGTTTCTAAAGTACACTCTATGGAAAGGATAACATATGAAATCAAAAGTAATAGTAAACATTTTGAAAGCATATGGGCACCGCTAAAATCAAAGTATGTACTATAAAATAAAACATTATATTAATTAATCATTTACATAACCCTCCCTCTCTCTTAATTTATTCAATATATTTAAAAATATTGTTTGAATTACTTACTAGAAATTAGATGTCATAAGAGTTTTGACATGAATATGTGACCGTGTTTTGTATTTTCCTTTTCTTTAAATTTTCTGTCCCTATTTTTGTAAAAGTGTTTATGTTTGTAATTGTTAACTTTTATTTATTTATTTATTTTTATGTGTTGGTGGTGGGTATTACCACAAAAGGGGGAAAAAAGTAAACTGAAGAGAAAGGAAAAGGAAAAATGAGGAATAACTATTGGTAAAAAATATTATGTTTTCAAAGGTAAAATTCACTTGTATAATTGTATTAAATGTGTTTTTGAATTGAAAGACATAATAATAAAATGGCATTCTGAAACTGAATGACTTCTTTTCTGCTGTGGACCAAAAAAATGAAGCATTCTTAATGTTAAGCTGGCTGCTGTTTTCCATGAAATTACAATGAACGGAGACTTGAAAAATTGTGAATCAATTTTGAATAAACAGTAAATAAATGCAAAGAATATGTACAATACCATTCAAAAATTTGGAGTTGGTTATGCTGGGTACACACTAAAAGATTTTTAAAATCTTATAAGATCTTCAAAATGGGAGAGACCACAAACACGACGACAAAAAATCCTAGATTTAACCATTTTGCTCCTATAGTGTGTGGTGTGCCGCGGTGTTCCCCCCACACATCAGGATTTCTGATCGTAAATATTCAACATGTTAAGATCATAAGATCATCTTTAGAACCACCAAGATAATCGGGACATTACCTAGGATTGTCAGAAGGGGAGAAATCGGCCCAAAATCAGCCCGATTATCTTGTGGTGTGTACCCAGAATTTGATTTTTAGTCTTCAGTGTCACATGATCCTTCAGAAATCATTCTAATATGCTGATTTGGCATAAATGTCTTTATTGTAAATTGTAACATTATAAATTTCACTGATCAATTTAATGCATCCTTGCTCAGTTAGTTTTTTTTAAAAACATTCTAATGTTTTTAAATTTCTTTTAAAAACACGTTTACATGATAGTGTCAGTAATAGCATAATTTATATTTTTGGGTGAACTATTCAAAACTATTTAAAAACTGCACATAACAGTAACAATATTATTTAATGCTCTTTTATTAGACCAATAAAAATGATTGTGACTACATAAATCTAGCTACAATATCATACAGTATCCTTCTAAGTCAGAGGAAACTGCAAATCAATGGGGCTGAAAAAAAGTTAAATTGGGCGAAAGAAAGAAAGCTTCTGATGTCTGTGAAACAGAGAAAACCCCTTGAGTCTATGTTAGGAGTCTGCACACATATTGCACAATGCAGAACTGCATTTCTGATGTAAATCCAGGTCATCAGACAGAAAATCACCTGAGCCAGGACAGAATCTGGGCCAGAGAAAAGTACAGCTGGACAGAACAGGTGCATCTGGAGTAAAGACACTGCTGAGCCATTCAAACCAAAGAAAGCAGGCCAAGGAGGAGAGAAACTCAAACTACACTACATCTTGCCCTTAAAACACCCTAAACACAAATCCAGAGTGACCACATCTAACATAAATAAGTCTACCTCAAATAAATCTGTTCTAAACAATGCATACTTACACTTCTTCTTTAATGTGACAGGTCAGAGATAGTTTGTGTATAGCAATGATTCAAATAACCATCTTTGCACATCTTTTTATGGTAAATTAGTATCATAGCTAGAAATTGCCTTCTTCTTAGATACTGTTGGCTGGTTCTGTTGTCATAGAAACAGGTAAAAGCATGTCAGGATGCTTAGCCACCTCTGAATTACAAAATACTACAGACACAAAAACACTCACAAGAAACATTGCACACTGTTGTAACTCCCACATAACAACAGACCATAAGTGCTCTCAGAGGCCCACACACACGCTCTCAGTCATAACACCCTCACACACACAGACACACACACACACACACACACACACACACACACACACACACAAAAACATAGACAAGAGTGCCCTGTACACTCAGAGAGATATACTGCAACGTAATCTGAAACACAACCATATATGTCTGCTAAATGATGCTGCAAACACACACATAATGTCTAGTCATACTTGAATAGAGAGGGAGCAGGCAGCACCTCCATTACCAGATTTTATAGGCCTCATAAATAGCTACGCTTTTGAAGGACATTAAAATATCATCAAGCCAGCAGGATTTAACATTGGTCTGTTTAAACAAAGTGTTTTCATTATAAAACAGCACTAGTGTGTAGTTTCTGCAGAGCTGTTCCTCTTTTTCTTCTCTCATGCTGCTTTCTGTCATTCTCATTATGCCAAACTGTCATATTTCTGTCTCTCTCCTTCTTTATCCCTGTGCAGTTCATGTTAAGCTACTAATAAACTGCAGCTAACTAGCTATAAAAAAGCAGTTTGAGGTAATTTAATACTCTTTTTTTTTTTTACACACAGGATAATTGGATATAGCGATATACCATGCACAGTTTAAGAAATCAAAGTAATATAAACAGATCAATATACCCTAAACACCACCATTAAAATTAGATACAGCACCATTTGTATATGAAATGACAGCTAGATATAATTATGCGGAATACAATGTAATATATCTCATTTTGTAAAATGATTGTAATAAAAATGATTATACCGTATATCATGGCAAATAATAATCCAATAACATTTAAAAGATCTGATTCACCAGAATGAATCAGACTTCCCAAAGCTTCATATAATTAGAAGGAGGACATTATAGGACATATCTGATAATTAATTGAAATTCACATGGTTGTAAAGCTGCGTTGAAAACATTAATAGAGCAATTTGTTATGCTATACTGCTTGGAAAAGTAACTTGTTACTGGAAAAGCTACTCTAAAACAACTAAACTACTGTCTCACCAAAAATACATGTACAGTACTTAAGCTTGTAGCATCTCAACTTTAGTGAGTCACTCCATAACACTCATCTCAGCTATAACCTGTCAGGAAACTAGCATTAGCCACAGCAGGAACGTCCTGTCAACAAACACCTATGACTTTGACTGACAGTGGACAGATGTTGCCTGAGGAGTGTACAAACTAACACAAACACACTATACACACACAGGTGGTGAATAACTTGTCTTCTGAAAGTATTCTTGGACAGCTCAACTGTGATATGATGCAATTATGTTAATAAAAAAAAAAATCTAAATATTCACAGTCAACACAGATGTGGTCTCGAGTGTCATTTAGGCTTGGACCAAAAAAACTAAATCATGTCTAAATAGGGTCATCAGTACTGATGGGTTCAGCTCTGCAGAGACCCAGTGCTCATCCGGTCCACCTGGACCATGAAACTTTATTACACTGGGGCCGCAGATCCTCACTAATGATGTTAAATCTGCCGAGACTGAGCTCTCACTAAACACGCAAGCCAGCCGATAACAAACAAGACAGACAGCTGGACAAACCCGAGGAACTCAGAAACAGCAGCACTATCCAACAAAATGTTTAATGTCTCATCCACTGAAAGCCTTCAGTACATCTAGTTTCTCTCTTGTGCGCAATAAAAATATTTCTCATACACATAGTCTTTATTTTTATACACACTTTAAACACATTAATTCACACACGGTTTGCAACCTTTCTTCCTTTTCACAGGGATAATTAAAGAATTGATCAAACCATGACAATATTTCTGAGAGGATATTGGACAAAAAGTTAGGTTTGACAACATACACACTTAGACAACAAAAAGGCTGATGGTAAACACTGAAATATGAAAGCTCAATATAACAGACACAACAAGGAAAGTGCACAGAAGGTCAAATAATGACACATCAACATAGTTACAAATACATTTAAGAAGACAGACAGACATGGACAGGCATGAACAGAGATCAAAACGGTCTCTTTCAGTATGGAAAGCAAAAAAAAAAAAAACAAACCATCCAGACCAGCATAAATGTGCCATGTCTGGGTTCAAAGCAGCAGTACAGGACAGGTGGCAGCCATTTTATGTTTAAACTGGCCGCTTACCTTTTCTGATGCAGATAAGCTCATGTACTCCACAATTCCGCTCTCCACCTGCAGAAACAAAACACATTTAATGATAGACAATACACACATGCAACAACCAGTGTTGGAGAAAGTTACTTTTGTAATTTGCATTGCAATTTTGCTTTACTCCCTAAAAAAGTAACTAATTACTTTACTTAGTTACGTTTTATGGAAAGTAATGCATTACGTTACTTTTGCTTTACTTTTTAAATCTGCACTGGGCTTACTTGTTTGTTTTTAATATAAAAAAGTTATTCTTTTGCAAATGTAAAAGCCCTTTTACAACAAAAGCGAAATGAATTAGCCTCAGGCTGAAGGAAATGTACATTCACGTCTGTACAGTAGAGGGCGCAGCTCAAACAAATTGCATGAAGAATATGACGCAGGAGAAGAAAGTTCAACACTATTAAGCAATAACAAAAATGAAACACAAATGTGTCATTTTTGCTTAGTATGGTTGAATTGGATCATCGAAAGTCAGTAGCAAAGAAATTGGTTAATAAAATGGGATTAAATACATAAATTATATTTGTCTTATTTAACATTTAATTATTGCAGATTTGTATAATATTCTGAGTTTGCATTTGACTGTTTTTATTAATTTTGAGGAATACTGAATTTGTTTTTGTTCATATTTAGTCTAGAACTACAGTAAGCATCACGTTCACATAGCGCACACAACGCCTCTGCACAAGAGCTGTCAGTCAACACATGGAGAAAAAAAGTAACTGGAGTTACTTATTTAAAAAAGTAAATCCGATATTTCCTTCTAAATTAAAAAGTAATGCGTTACTTTAAGAGTTACTTAAAGTAATCTGATTACGTAACTTGCGTTACTTGTAATGCGTTACCCCCAACACTGGCAACAACACATTAAACAGAGACACAAACATAGAAACAGACAGACACTTATAACTAATGCACATGACACTTTAAGACTTTATCACATTGACAAAACACTGGACACTATGAATCCATGAAACAATGTGAGATTTGACACAAGAGAAAAATCTTTGTGTTGATATATGACACCTTGAATCGGTGCTGTTATTTTTTAATTAAAACTAAATTCAAGCAACTAAGCAATTTAAAACTGAATGAAAACTGAAAATATAAAAATAATAGCTAATTCAAGATATTAATAAACACTATAATTGTACAAAATAATACTAAAATAAACAATAAATACAATAAAAACGTAAATAATATAAAAAGTATATTATATAAAAAGTATATTATAATAAAACTTAAAAAAAAAACAATTAATTTGCCTTTTCAATGCAGTGACAAACAGGGGTTAGGAAAGTATTGCTGTGTTTTTTTATTGCTATTTGTTGTGGGCAATAAAGATGTTAAAGGTCCTTTTACCTCAAGGGCTCTTTACACTGTTTAAGGCATAAGGCCTTCACTGATTGTTTTTATATCTAACAACACTTACAATCAGGGTTGGGTAGTAACTGATTACATGTAGTAGGATTACATAATCAGATTCCAAATATTAAGTACTTGGAATTAGAGTATATTGCATTTTAAAATGTTCATAATCAGATTATAGTTACTATTTTACGTATTACATGATTACATATTTTCACACAATGGCCATAAATTATTCATAAATTATTGATGCAGTGATTCCCAAATATTTTGTCAGTCAAACTCCTTAAACAACAGATTCACATGTTTCAGTTCTCTGATATCGGTTAATGGTCACATTGACATGCAGGTAAACAAATGAAATATTTCTATTTTTAATGTTCAAGTGTTTAAATTATTTTTATTTGACATTTTTATGATTTAATGAAAGGGGTCATATGATTCTGCTTATTTCTAGTCGTGTCCTCTTTTGGCCAAACAAAGTCGTTTCGCTTTCACAACGAAACACAGTGTCACACACGGCAGGCTTGAGTGAGCGGAGGCCGGTGGGCTAGAGTGAGCATTTTAGGTAGGCGTGGTTGACTCTTAACTTTTATAAAGAATATCTCTTTGGATTCTCTTTGAGAATGTAGTCTTTGCAACTTTACAGATCTTCTTTATGCACCAAGAGCTTGAATCACTTCAAAGAGAAAGGAAAAATTTAAATCACATCATATGACCCTTTTAATGTATTTTGCAACAATGTAGAGAGCGATGTGTAACATTTTACCAGATTTAGTCGAAAAATTTAAATCGCATCATATGACCCCTTTAATTATTACATGTTTATCCACTCACAAACCCACTGCAGTTTTTACATTAAGCATAGTTTGGGAAACCCTGGTGTAATGTAATGTTTAATGCATTTTATGATGTTAATATAAAAAATGAATATATTTTCTTTCTCTTTGCTTTTTTTTTATAACAATGTGGTATGTTTAATGGTAAGATTAAAACAATTTATATAAAAAAGTAATCTAAAAAGTATTAGAATACATTACCTAAAATGAGTAACCTAAATTATGTTACTAACTACAGTTTTAATCGGTAATCAGTAACAGACTACTATTTAGTAATCCACCCAGCACTACTAACAGTAACATTTAAAACATGTTTTTTGGTATCAACCTTCTCAGACACACAATCTCAGACATCACCTCAGCAGAACGGCTCTCTTTACACTTTGCAGCTGTGCTCGGGTGTTTGCTGGGACAGTTCAGATCAGAAATGTCTTTAAATCTGAAACCCACACTCATGCATTAGAAAGCAGCAAAAAAGAGTTTCCATTATGTACAGCGTAAGACTAACCCATGATGGTCTGCAGAAGATTTCAGTTGGCAGTGGTTGGATTCAAACCTGGGACTGAGTGAAGTGATACCCCACACCAGAGCGAAGCATACAGTTTAAACATGGAGCCGTGCTTAAGTGGTAAAACATATGGACTGTGTCTGTGTGATGACAATTAGCATTAATAATGTTCGAACACAAATTATGATAATGACCAATATCATATAGTAAGATGGTGAATCATTATAGCTTTGACAACACAATACATTATATTTTAAAATATATTAAAATGGAAAACAGTCATTGTAACAATATTTCATAATATTATGGTTTTTACTGTATTTTAATCTAATAAATGCAGCCTTGGTGAGCACAGAGTTTAAATTTAAACAATAATATTATAATATCATTTATATTTTTAAACATGTAAAATAAATATTATTGTGATTACTGGATGACATTGTCCTTGTTGTGTTTCTCAAACCTTCATACACAAAATTGACCCATTTGACCTAATTTTAATTCAAGTGCTTCTCAAACTAACAAATGAACAATAAATTGTATGGTACTTCAGTCTGAGAACCCTTGGAGTCCTGAATGAGCATCTCTGCAGGGGCGAAAATGTCGTCTAACAGTTGTGGGGGGGGGGGACAATGAACATAAAATTTCTCAAGAGCAGACAGTGCTCGTGTCCATGGTAGACATTACTATCAATCACAGTGTTGCCAAGTCCGCGGTTTTCCCGTGGAATTGGGCTTCTTTATCACTGTTGACGAGGGTTGTTTTTCATGTCCGCGGGTTGAAGCAACCCCAATAACGTAATATTTAGCCCCTGGAATGCGAATTTTACCAGGGGACCCCCTCGAAACGCGGTTAGTTTGGGCTAGTTTTGAGTAGCAATTGGGCGGGTTTTGTTTTGTGAAACCTGGCAACCCTGTCCATCAAGCAGGTAATGTTATTATTGCTAACATAGCGGACTTATAAAAAAATATATTGCCATCATTTGTATTAAAGAGAAAATAATCACTTCATCCGATGTTTAAGTGAATAAACTAGCCTTGGAGTTCCACAACTATTGGTTTTGTTCTCTCTCACCGGACTCGTGTGTGTGTGTAGGTGATGTAAAAGAGGAAAGCAGGCATTTGCACTGTGAGGCAAGGGAGGGGTAGGCCTGTCACGATAACAACTTTTTGTTGTGCGATATATTGCCCCAGAAATAATTGCGATAAGCGATATTA